CCTCCCGACCCGCTCTTCCTCGCTAAAATCAAGCCCAGAAAGGTAAGTGCTCTCATCAGCTCTGATTTTAGGTTCTCATACACAATCTCTTTCTCTGGGTCAGGCAGCATTGGAGCCAGGAGTTTGAATCCCTGCTCTGTCACTTATTAGCAGTGACTTGTCTTTTCTGAGTCTCAGTGTTCTCATCTGTAAAATGGGGATATATTTTGCATTCATAGGCATGCTGCAAGGGTAAAACAAGATGCTGCATGTAACATTTCTAGTAGTGCCTGGCTTACAGTATGCACTTAATGATGTTGACGATAATTATCATCCCTTTTTACCTCTTCACAAGAGAAATCTTAGCCGTAAGATTTGTCTTGTGTTTTTATACTCTGTGCATACTGATGGGGCCCATAGCAGAGAATATAATTTTAAAATGAAGCCACGCTTTTTAGTGTCTATTTATTTATTCAACACATTATCGAAGCATAAGACTCGCATGGTTGTAATGATATCAGTCATCTGTTAATGCCCGCACCAGATGACCCGACTGTCTTTTATTGAGTCTTCTGCCCTCTGGAGCAACCTCCTGTGCCATCTGGACTGGTGTCCCATGGCGTCTCCCAGCTCCATCTTCCACCACTTCTCAATCCACAAAAAGGCCCTGGCCAAACTGAATTATTTATTTTTCCTTTAAATACACACTATTTCACACCTCCAAACGTTTTCCATCTTCATAGACAAATGAACGGCTGTTTTTGAAATCCCACATATACGTAAGTGACATCTGCCTGAGGAATTTGATAATTAATCTGAAAGGGGAAGGCTGGGTATACCCGTAAATCCTTACAAGTGCGTTCATCGAGCGCCTACTGGGTACATTCTGTGTGCAGGTTGAACCAGATGCTATGGAGGAATATAAACATACAAAAATCATCGTCCCTGCCTTCAAGAAATTGATAGCCTTGCAGGAAAAACTGAATATAATATCAGTGCAAAGTGCAATTATGTGCATGTATAAAGATTTTGCAAATAATTTCCAAGGCTTCATGTATCCTCTGAAATCCCTCACTGGATCGGGTTAAGTACTTGTGCCAAAGGCTGCAGTTTTGATGATTACCGGATGGGGTGTGGAATAGGGGAGAAGAACGTGGTTATAATAACAAATAACATTTATTGAGTGGTTCCTGGGGGCCTGGCGCTCTGCTAAGTGATTTACATGCTGAGACATACTGTCTCATTTAATCCTTACAGCAACCCCATTTTTCAGATGAGGAAACTAAGGTAGGTAGCGGCAAAGTGCTTGGCCCAGATCAGCTAGCTAGCAAGTGCTGTAGCAGGGCTGGAGCCACAGCTGCCTGGCTCCGGGACCTGCATTCTCTCTCACCGCACTAGCCTGAGTGGGAAGTACAGGCATGTCTGGGGAATGATAAGCTCCTGAGAGCAGAGCAAGGTGAAGGATTTTTCCAGAGCAAGCTTTGCTGCTGCCGCTGCTGCTGCTTCCTTTCTTCTCTTTCTCTTCTCTCTGCTTCCCCGTGTCTGGTTGTGAGCACAGGACACCTCAAGCCTTTTGTGAAGTGAACACAGGGATCTGTTTGAAGAAGGAAACCAGCACAACTAAATGCTTTGGGCGGAGTCCGATTTTGTGCCTCGGATATAAAAATTCCTTGATTAGACTAGAGTCAGCCAAAGTCTGACCTATCAGATGCCAATTTTCATGAAAATAGCTCTAATAGGATTTCCTTTCTACAGAAACGACTGGGAGCCCCCAGATAAGAAAGCGGATACAAGAAAATACCGTGCAGAACCGAAAAGCATTTACGAGTATCAGCCGGGCAAGTCCTCCGTTCTGACCAACGAAAAGATGGTAATGTGCATATTAAAGTTCTTTTGTCTCACCCTGCCTGTGTTCTTTAATCCAGATGCACAGTGTGTGCACTTGGATTACATTCTTTCTCCCTTGAAATAGACTTGCTTTGTTTAGAAGACAATGAAAATATGAAGCATTTTTACCCTTTTCATTTTCGCAGGTGTTCACAAAATAAGTCCGGAGAATGCTTTGAAAGAATCCTCTCATTGTGGCTTTGTTGCTCTTTTTGCTCATGGTTTTCACTAATTTTAAAGTTTGTAATGTAAGGTGGATTTTGCCACTATCTTTTTTTAAACATCTAACCATTCGTTTATCAGGCTTATTACTAACTGGACTAAAGTTGGGGTTTCTTGGGTGACTCTTATTTGAACATGCGCAAAGTTTGTAGAAGTTACTAGTACACTATTAAAAGCCAAATAATTAATATGATGACGTGACTTGGGGGAAAAAAGCCCCCGGCTGTTAGAGTATGTCTTTTAGGTCTTACTTTTCTGACAAGTGCAATAGAGAAGACGAATTTCATATTCAGTCTGGTTTATGGTTCCCTATACAAGTTCGCATCTCCAAGCAATTATCAGTGGGGAAAATGGCCTGTATGGGCATAGCAGACCACCCTGCAAAAGCAGGGGAGAATTTTTACAAACTGATTAGTTTCATATCTGCCGATCACGTTTCCTTTTATTCACCCTTCATTAGAAAAAGCTGGTTTCAGAATTCTGAACGTGGTTAAAGGGATCCTCCAAAGCTCTATAAACCCTGCAGCCCTGCAGCTGTGCCAGCAGGATGGAATTATCATGCTGGGGATTGATTCTTATTAAAATGCTGTTACCACACTGAGTCCAGAATAAGTAGGCCTCTGAAATGAGGGCTCAAATTATTCTCCCTCCACCTCTTTTGCTCTACATGTTTTTAAGGAATAATTGATTTGACTTTTAATAAAAAGGTGACATCTTTAAAAGCACAAAGGGATAAGTAATTTTAATTAGGAAAAAAGGTTCACCAGGTCCCAGAAATGCTTCAGAGTTGTCATTCTTCAGCATTTACTGTGCACCACAGTTATTTTAAAGCAAAAAGTTCTGAGAGGAGCGGAGAATTTTGCCTCTGGCTCAACCCTGCATTGGAGGTTCTCTCTCTCTTAGAAGGTAACAAGTAGGGAAGGTAATCCTCCATACAGGTCTTCCTAGAAAGAATGTCACGTCCTTTGGGTGTATTCCCGACACTTGAATAACAAGTGGTGGACACACCATCACATGTCAGTACACTTCAATGATTTTAGAGACTCTGTAGGCCTTTGGGTGCTCTTGTGTTGGCAATTTATTATTTATTATTGTTCATAGATGGTCATTGATTTATTGAAGGCTTGCCCCTTAATTTCTCCTTTGTTTCCTCCTCCTTTCCTTGGTTCCTAATAATTTGACCACTATTCAAAACTAGGAAAAAAACAGTAACATAGTTTTATTTTTCTCACTGATACCACAATGATCACAATGTCTTCCATGTCATAGTCCTTGGGATCATTTATATTGTTTTTACAAACTCCGAAAAGTAGCACACAGTGCCCACGGGGCCCTCTTTGGGGAGTTGCGATGACCATACACATGGATTGCCAAGCACCGTCTGGGTGTTCCCACACAGGAAGCCCCCTGGTTGTACCAGGACCTGGGCCAACCCAGTTAGGACATAACTCCAAAGGCTGGCCAGGGAGGAACATCAGTGTGCAGCTGTTTTAGTTTCGTTCCTTTCCCTCTATTTAGCGCTGTTCTTCCCAAAGAGTCATTTTTCATTTTAGAGACAATCTTCATCTTTTCACAGTCTGCTCTTCACAGGGGTTGAATTCGTCCTTTATTTTTGAATTTCTTTTCCCGCTATTTTTGCCACATGAGCAGAAACGTTGGAATGTGAGTTTCAGCACGTGAGTCGTGCCTTTTGGTTTCCAGTGTCGGGTTTACCAGAATTTGAGGAACCCCCCTCCTTCCACAGCCACCACCCCACCACCACACACATACATACACACACACGTTTTTGTTGTTGTTAACTGTGAATAAGTATACTAACTAGAGACAGACAGATGTAGAATCTAAATGTGCTCTCAGAAATGCACATCTCCTTTTAAGGGGGAAAATCCACTTTCCCCCCCAATTCTTTTCCAGTTGGAGGTGCTCGTGTCTGCTTAAGCCTGGCAATTTAAATTGTGGCCTCACAGGCACATCTCTCTATCTGTTGTTCACACAAAGAGTTGAAGAGTAGGCTGTAAAGGTTGCCTTAGAAGCACATCTTGTTCCTGGAGCAAACCCACAGCATCCCAGACAGATAAACACTTTGCTACCTTCGGAATCCCCCCAGGAGATTCACAGTCTTGGTGACCTATTCAGCTGTTTGGCAAACTCATCTGAAGTTCTTCATAACTGTTTGGCCTCCCTCTTATCATAGTATGAATCCATTTCCTTCTCTTCTGGTCTTGGAATTGGAGACCTGTTGGTCAGTCCCTGCTTTGTCAGAAATGGCTTTTTTCAGGCTGTGTTCCTTTTACTTTCCTCCAAAGTCCCTTATAGAACTGAACTTCAGCTCAATTCAATAAATATATACAATTGACCCTTGAACAACATGGGTTTGAACTGCACAGTCAACTTATACACGGATTCTTTTCAATAGTAAATGCTATAGCCCTACACAGTCGTGGTTGGTTGGATCTGTGGATATAGAGGAACCGTGGCTACAGAGGGCCAACTGTAAATTATACTTGGATTTTTCTGTTGCATGCACCCCTAATTGCCCACACTGTTCAAGGGTCTGCTGTATAGAATAACTTTGATGTGCCAAGCTCTGCATTAGATGTTGGAGTTCCTGCTCCCATAGGGGTATAGTAAGAAGGACAGACATTAAAATCGTTATTACAGACACAATATATATTTGAAAGTGTAAAACAAGGGAATTTACCCAACTTGACTTCTTTCCATTTCACTGTCACCTTGAATTCCTTCCTGACTTTTCAAGTTTGTCACTTGCCCCTGTTTTAGCTTGGTGTCATCCACAAACTAAGCAGGCCCGGCCCCTTCTCATGGGGAGTATGAGAAATGTAAATAGCACTGGACTAGGAATTGCAAGGTCTGAGTTCTGAGTTCGAATTCTGACTCTGCCTTATGTCTTGGGACATCGCTTAACCTTTCTGAACCACAGTGTTTTCATCTATAAAATGAAATTATTATCTGGCCTGCCAGCCTCACTGAAGCATTGAGTGAGAGGGTCATGTGTGATAATGTGGGTTAAAGATCTATGACCATTATAAAGTGCCGTGTAAATGACCGGGCCACATTCAGATTATTTAATTAAAATCTGAAGTTAGTCTCTGGCTCCCGTCCAAGCAGCAAAACTGTCCTTCAGGACAGTCAGGTGTTCCTCTCAAGTCACCTGCCTTTTCTGAGGATTTTGCCAAACTGGGAAAAGATAGCCACCCGTAGCAGAGAACTCAGCCTGGCCTTGTGGAATACGCTTTGCCTGCCAGTACAGAGAGCCTGTTCTGCCTCCAGAAGGACGTTTTCTGCCTGTCCGTTCTGTACTTGGATCTGTAGTGGAGTTATAAATGCAGAATCAAATGCTGTGTGGTATTGCCTCTTTCACTTTCTCTCTGGCAGCTCAGAGGGCTGAGGCTGGCTGCTCTGGGTCCAAGCTGGTTGACATACCTCCTGACTCAGTTCTCAGCCCGGCATTAACCTCAGCAGTAAAATAATCTACAAACAACCTTTGACAATAAAATGGGTTAATTCTTTCAGGACTGAGTACCAGAACATTCAGGAAATTTCCTGAAAGAGTTGATACTTTTTTTTTTTTTTAATGAAAAGAAACTACTCCCAGAGAGCAATTTATAAATAGTCTTTTAAAATAATAAACATGAAATAGGTTTCATGAAACCCCATCATACAAGGATCTAGGGTGTCCCTGTGTCTAAACTGTCTCTCCTGAATAGTGGTATCTTTGTAGATATTGTGCCTCATTTCACTGAATAAATACAGAATCCATTATTTTACATAATTGCAAAATCCATTGAGAAGGAACATGCATTCTCCAAGATTTAAGCCCTACGCCCCTAAAGACAGTTGGAGGAGGTTTTAATCTGGATTCAAGAGGGCAGACTCTGTTTCAATATATATTTCCCTTTGATTTCAACTAACGTCTATCCAATTAATTTCTGTTGAAGAAAAGTCCTCTGCCATATTTTCCTCTATTTAAAGCAAAAGTAGAAATAATGGTAAAGATTCTTATAGGGATTTTTAGAAGAGATTGGTAAAGGTCACTAAGGAAGTTTACAGTCATTTCAATAAGCTACAAAAGGCCTGTTAACTGGATGTTAAGAAAAATGTATCCAGGAGGAGCAGCTTTGTGAAGGAGTCACTTGGAGATGCGTCCACAGGATCTGCAGTTTCCTACCTCATGTGTCGTGGCCCTGAGGGCGTGAAGTTTCTTATGATGTTTTCAATCACAGTGGAAAATGTACATTTTCTATTTCATATTGTTGTCAGAATATCACCACCTCTCTCTTTTGTGACTATCATGATTTTTTGAAACGTGTATACCCGTAGGAATTAAGCCGTGAGCCTCTAACACTTCTATCTGATGTGACCATATCTCCAGTTTATTAAGGGGAAATCTGATTTGCTTTCCAGGCATTCATTTTCCAACTAATTATTTCCGGAAACACATGCTCTTCCACAGAGCAAGGTACCAGAACTTTATAAATATTTGATAAAACATGAAATCCCATGGAATCATATTATCAGTCTGTGAACTACTTTTTAGAGTCGTATAAAATGAGAAATCTAACTTATTTTTGTAACATAACCCCGAAGTTTTTTCCCCACCTATCGTTCTGTTATGTCTTGTTCAGCTTTTCCCTCGCTTTATTTTTTCCCTAGTTCTTTAACGTTTATTTCGTAGAACACAAAGTATATTCTGTCTGTATTCATCCCCCATGGATGCTTGTTTAAAATGTTTTTTCACTTGTGTCTACTGTTTTTCCTTACATCATCTTTCACTTTACTCTGTATGGGACATGGTTTCTCACCTACTCATGTGCCATTAAAGATGCAGTATTAACAAATTGGCTTTTATAAAAGTGTCAGTATTTGCTGCTTATTTTGAAACCCTTAAGGCAGCCTTGCAAATAAGTACTAAAACTGTACTAGCCCATGAAAAGTGTTTGCTGTACTCATCTGGTGTAGATGGCTAAACGTTTGATGTATTCCCCAGGTTATTTGCTCTTAACTAATAGCGCTTTGTAAAGAGGGATGAGGGCTCTCTTTTCTCCCACCACTCCGACAATTACCAAGGGAAACTGTCGTGCCCATGTTCAGATCTGTTGGGAAGGCGGCAGTGTGGTGCAGCATTCTCCATCTGTCGTCCCTCTGCCTTGGGACCGAGAATGACTCCCTCACTGCTCCCTACCTCAGTGTGCCTGTTTTCATAAACACATCCTTTCCCGCCTGTTTCAGCTCCCCTGATTTTGCTCATGTCAATAAAGAAATGGATGATCGCTGCTGTTGAACGCAGGTGCTGTATATTTCTGGAAACCACTGCATCTCTACTGGCCGGTTCCTATGTAATCTCTGCATAATGTTATCCTTCTCTCTCTTCCATTTCCCTATCACCAACCCCTATAGAGTCGGGATATAAGCCCAGAAGAGATAGATTTAAAGAATGAACCTTGGTATAAATTCTTTTCGGAATTGGAGTTTGGGAAACCGGTAAGTTTAATAGCTTCAGTGGTTATAGACACCTTTTTTTAATAGTGCTGTTGATGCATTGTTGCTGCTAAAAAAATCAGACCTATTTGTAAAGAATTCAGGAAGTGGGGAGCAGCCTTGTTGGCTGTCAGTGGTGGGATTGTCTGTTCTCGCTACAACCTGTGAGCTTTCCATTGCTTTACTTCACCAAGAAAGGACAGAGAGCTCTGGACAGTATTTCTTGCTAGAAAATCCCCCAGGAGACATGGCTAAGTCATTGCTTGTTTCAGGACCTCCCACCACTAGCAACAAATATCACACACCTTGTAGACTGCATTATTTCGGCCTTTGGTTCAGTTCCTTGACCAGAGTCTTCATGGTGTACTGAAGACAACCAGGAAAATGCATTACACACTGAGAAAGACCCGCATTGTCACTGCTTTGAATAGAAATTTTAGAAGCACACATGCAAGGGAAGTGCCAGTGCAAGTGGAAAAGGGCCTCTCTATGCAGAGGTGATCCTCGAATGCCATCCTGTTGCAGGTGACTTTTAGGGAATGATTTCTATGAGGTAGGATAATATTTCCCAAAATTAGAAATGAGAGTTAGGAATTCTAGCAAACTTAGTATTCAGCCCAATAGCCTGTAGCTTCCCTGTGTTGTGTCTGAGTTCGCTTTGGTACAAATTGATTTATGGCACTTAAAGGAGGATTTTCTTGGCCTTGCACCCAAAGGAGTATCAAACCGAAGGGAGAATTGAGCTCATTTTTCCACTGGAGATGACTGGAAACTGACTTTAAAGCTCCAGTTACTTTAAAGTCTTAATTATTACAGCTGCAAAAAGAATTTACAGGTGGAGGGATTTAGTGTATAAAAATAAAACATTTCATTAGATGTTTGTATGAGACTTTAAGCATTGAATCGGCATTTGAATCACCGTGATTTAGAATGATAGTTTTATTTGCAGATAGCAATTAACTTTATAGTTCAGTAAAATGTTAAATTCTGTAGTACATTATTTTAATGAAGATGAAGACGGAGAAATTTAACTGTTGCTCTGGAATTGCTGAGCTTTGTTCGAATGTTCAGTCATTTTCTGAGTTAGGAGCACCTGCCTTGCAAACACCCCTTCTTGTAGGAACAGGCATTCCCCCCACTTTGTCCCGTCCCTGACACTGTCACCTAACGTCAGCCGAGGTGTCCTGGATGAACAGCGCCACCTAATGACCAGCAGAGAGGGAAGCATCCAACCCAAAGTCTGCACCGTCTCCTCCTCCCCTCCCCAAAGCTTTGGTACATACCTCACTTCTGTCTCTCCCTGTTTTCTCTGCTGTCCACCATTCACACATCAATGAAGTCTACCTCACGCAGTCTCTTCCACATGCAAAGATTTAACAGTATCCTAACCCTTTTCCTTTTCTTAAAACCTGCTCAATTATCTCACAAAAAAACCTGCAGAAATGTGTGCCCCTGCCCCCTCAAAAAAAAGACCATGATTGGTACACACAATAATAATGCCATACTTTCATCAGGGAAAGCAAAAGATATTAGCTTTAAATTGTTTATAATAAGGAGTCTATGCCATTGAGTTTTGAAACCCTGTTCAGAATCCACAAATTTCTAGCCATCTCTTCATTTGCCAGATAACAAATAACTATTTTAGTTTTACTGAAATGTTAACGCCGTTTTTTTCTAATTAATTATGATTGGTTTGTGTTATTAAATCTGTCATCGTAAATAATGCTCTTTTCGTTAGCAGTAGACAGCATTTCAGTCACAGCATATTTAGATAGGCTCTGTGAATAGCTCCGTGAATTAGCATCGTTTCTGCTGGAAACTGTAGTGTGAGCCCACACAACCAATCCAGACAAATGTTGACAACACGGTCCATTTGCGTACGGGGACCTTCCTATAATTTGTATTCCTACCCCATTGTCCTAACTGCCTCTTAATTATTTAAAGACTTAGAGATGCTTTTCCAAAATGTCATTTTCTCTGAAGCCAGAGTGTTCCTTGCATAGACCTTAGAGTCCTTCTTAAATAGGACTCTACCTCTTTTTGTGTAGGTCTTTTAAAGTAATAGAAGATGATACTTTTGAAGACTTTTGCCAAAATAGCTTAATCAATGCCTATGTCCTGAGGAACAGCACTGAGGTGAACGGGTCCTTATGGTCTGAGTTGTCCTGAGGGTGGGCTTGTTATCTGGTTGAACCAGGTTGATGACTCCCAGAGTTTGGGAGGAAGGTGTGATGGGGAGAAATTTTTTCTTCACTTCTCTCCTACCCCAATCAACTCTGGGCCACAAAAGAGCAAGAGACATAAATAAAAGGGGTGTAATCCATGGCAGTTGTTTTGGAAGACTTTTCAGTCATTCAGAAGCAGAATGAAATGAAAACTACTATCAAACCACGTGGATCATCGTTTCTCCTTTTTACGCCACGTGAACCTAGGACCCACTTCCCCCTAGTAAAGCCTGCCAGAACTTTAGACATTTAGCCTGAACTCCTTTCTTCCTTGGCCCCTTCTCTTAAAGCCACCCAAAATGAGCTGAAGTTTCAGCAAGCTTCTGACTGTAATACCTTTTAGGTCTAATGAGTTGTAGGATATCAACTAATTTAAGACTCCAGGGACCATTTGGGGGAAGATTATTTAAAACCAATTTAATTTGTAAGCACTGTCTTATTTTTTGCAGTAAGTAAATGAGTAGGGCTACCATCAGTGACTTGGAAACATCTCCATCCCCAGATGAACAATCCAACTGTATTAAGTGCTTAAAGATGAATGGTAATTGTCAGTGGCACTTACTTTACAAATTGCAGAATATACGCAATTTATATTACATGCACAAGTTACTGGTGAAGGCACCTTGGAATCAATTACGTTTCATTTGTAAAATCAATTACTTTTTATTTGGCCTAGAGTGTCAGCTTTTTCTTCTTTTTTCTCCCCCTAGTTTCTACAGAAATTGATGTGATTTCTGTAAGTAAGCTCAGGGCAAAATGTAAAACTAATTTGAATGTTTCCACAGAGTTGGTTATGATGAAATTTGCACAGAACGATAGGAGTTATTAATGGTATCATCTCCTCAGAGGTCATTGTGTAAGGAATTTCAAGTCTAAGTGGGCAGAACAAGGTTTACTTAGTGGAAGAGAGGTTGCAAAGATAGAAGCGGCTTGTAACTTCCAGATGCCCTACCCTCTGGAATTCTCCTGGCAGATTTCTACTTCGGGAATGCAGTTCTAATTCTAACATGAACAGTTAAAGGAGAAAATAAAAATAACCTTACAGTTCACTGTTTAAATTCAAAGTATAAACTCTGCTCTCTAAGAGAGATGGAAGGTTTGACTCTACCATCAGCAGTATTATCAAAGTCTAGTTAAACTGTAAAAGGAGATTTTAAAAAACTTATCTAAGGAAATTGTCTAGTTCTCCAGTGCAATATTTAACACCTATTTCATACATGGATTTCATCGCCACAAGCCACAGGAAGTACATTTAGCACCATGTACCCACCCTTGGTCAGATCTCCAAATTCACACGTTTATGAAGACATAATGAATTTTACAGGCGAGAAGACTAGCTTCTAAGATGTAGGCTCTCAGTGTCCATCTTAGTTGGAAAAGAACAATGAGGAATTTAAATGTTTGTTTTTGTTCAAATTGGCGTTAATGCTTTTTTTTTCCTTTGTTCTTTTTAAAGTTTTCAATATTTATAATCCAGCAGTGATGGACTCTTGAGACAGAGATGCAGAAATAAACCTCCCACTTGAACATTTCCAGCTCCTGAGTTCCATGGGGTCCCCAGGTGGCCTCAGGAGACAGGGTACCCCGCTCCTTTTGTTTTTAGTTCACTTTTCTGTGTTGAGACAGTTCTCCTAGTGTTGCCTCTCTTGGTTTGAGCCTGTCTCCATGTTTGTCTTTATGTCTTTACGCTCATTTCTTCATTTCCTCCTCTGCTTCCCGTCAGCCTCCCAAAAAGATATGGGATTATACTCCTGGAGACTGCTCTATCCTTCCTAGAGAGGATAGAAAGGTAATTCCACTGTGGGCTGTGTGTGTGCGCTCTGGCCTGGCTAGTGTGCGTGTGTTGTGGGCTTTTTTCTTTTATTAAATCCCCCCCCTTTTATTTTTAACTTGATTGTAACTTTTTTTTTTTTTTTTGGCTTGGTGATAAAACAGTTTAACAAAGTCTCTTGAGACTTATACTAATGTGTAGAGGCTTTTAAAGCAATTGCTTATTCTTCTGACATATAGTATGTGTCATAGTCACCATACTCTGAAAAAGAGAAAATAGGTATTTCCTAAAAGGTAGGTTTTTGGGATCTCTCTAGCAAGTAGAGTAGAGTTTTGGAGCTCTGATTACCACAGGATTTATATTCTCTATGCCTAATGTTGCATTCCCTGTTTTCCTGTCTTTAACTCATTTCTAGTAAGCTCTTGTGTTTTAGTCATGCCATCTTTGCCTTATTAATGTATGATACTAAACAAACTCGTTTTTCAAACGTAATCTTCCATGCTGTCTGCCTTTCCTCCTAACTAAAACGCTCTTTCCCATCTTTTCTTTCTTGAACCAGACTAATCTAGAAAAAGATCTCAACCTCTGCCAAACAGAGTTAGAGGCAGATTTAGAAAAAACGGAGACGCTTAATAAAGCACCCAGTGCAAACCTGTCACAGGTATTTCCGAGTTTTTCTCGTGCCCTCAGTTCCCTTTGCTTTCTTCTTTGTTCTGTGGTTTTTGATGTAGTTGGGGTGATGAATGGTTATGCTGGTCATTTTTAAGCTGCATGGCTTTCTGACTCCTGTTTTAGATGACCCCTGACCCCCAACTTAATTGTTGTTTGGATTTCTTTTGAGCTTGGCATCTTCCTTAAAGGGGATTTTTCAAATATATATGCAGGGTGGCTAGTGATTTAACTGCTCCCCCGCCAGCTTACCATCCTCTTTCTCTGCTTTCAAGGGGTCACTCTTTTAACTCCCCTTCTGCCCCCTTGTTTGTATACCTTCTCTGAATTTTCAGGGAGCCTTTTCTGGGCAACTTCCGTGTCTTTTTTGCAGCGCTGGGAGATACCAACCTCAGAGATCATTTTCAAAAACACAGCGGCTGTGATTCGAGTGCCTCTTGCGTGCAAGGCACTGTCAGAATAGTAGTATTTGTAATTTGAAAGGTCAGAAAGTTCTTAATGAAAAAATGCACTCCGGAGACCAGACAGCCTGGTCACAAGCGTTTGAAACTCTGCCTACGTTGATATTTTTAAAGGGAGCTATGTCCCAATGTGGTTTATTAAAGGATGTGTCAGAAAGAGAGAGAGTCCAGGGTAAATGGGCTCCCAAGGTGAAGAAAAATATCAAATGTTTGGAGAAGTACCCCCAGGGTTCCCTGACAAAACAAAGGAGACGCTTACGAGGAAAGGGTATCTTTATAGAAAATAAAAAAGGAATGCGGACACTGCTGAAGAGGCTAGGACGTCCACAGACTGTGGCAGGAGAAATGGAAAATGCTAATGGACCGTGTTATTCTTAAGCAGAACTGAGACAAGGAGGGTCAAGCCACCAGTGTGTGTGACTTGGGTGCGAAGTCATGTAGAGCCAGAGACTCAAAAGCAGGTGATGATGGCTGCAGCCAGGGGGGCCCGGGATAAGAGGGGCAGAAGCCAAGCACGGCAAGCAGATCCAGGGGAGTTAGGGTTTGGGAATTCAGAGTCACCGAAGGATGAGGTAGCCAGCAGGACCAGCGGTTAGGCCCGGGGGAACACAGAAGGTGAGCGACAGGGCATGAAATCAGGCAGATGCGTGACGGGGTGGGCATAGTGGGGAGCTGAGTCTCCAACCAGGGCGGAGACTGGCACCAGCTGTAGCTGCTGTGGGAATGGAGGTCTGAGCTGGGTCTAAAGGAGAACTGTGGCTGCAGGTAAGTTCTGAAGTGAGCTGGGGGGCTGGAGGGGAGCCCGGAGTGAATCAGCAGGCACTTTTTTCAAAGTACTGTAATAAGAGTGGTTCTGTAACATGTGGCAGGATGGACAGCAGCTAGAGAACTACTGCAGTAACCGCAGCCTCCTTGGGGCAGAGATGACATCCAGTACCTACAACCCTGCCTGGGGCTAGGTGGGCCTGAAGAGGTGTCTGATGCATGAATGAGTCATCTTGACATTGGTTCAATTATGCGTTACCCGTAGTCCCTAACGTGTGTGTGACGTGCTGAGGGAGGTTCTAAATCAGCACAAGAGTGGACTTTGCCTTCAAGAACGTGACAGCTTAGTCACACTCATAAATAAAAGATCTCCAACAGTACACAGCAATGCCTGGTAAGAGCTAAATGAACACTACAGCCTCTAAGTGCTCAGAAGAGGGGGAAATCTTCCAGGAAATCAGGGAAGAATTCTCAGGAGCTGGCCAAGATCTTAAGGGATTGATGGAATTTAGGTACATGGCGAAAGTGGGGGCCACCATTTGAGGCATGGTAGAGAGCACAAAAGTGAACGTGCTTAGGATGGATTCAGGAATAAAGTAGATGAATTCATCTGTAATAGAAAGTTTGGGGTGATAATAGTGGAAGGCAGGTTTGGGAAAAGAGGGTTGACCCTGGGTTGTAGAGACTCCAAAAATATGGTTAAAGAGATGGTTGATTTTTCCCTCAAGTCAATGATGTGATTCAGGACTAGTGTTTTAGGAAAGTTAGTGTCCTCGCTCTAGAGAGGTTGAACTGAAGGGATAACCTCCAGTTGGAGGTTGAGAAGGCAAGGAGGCTACTGTAGCAGTCCAGGCATGTAGGGGTAAGTACTCCAGTGGCACCAGCATGAAGGGATGAAGATAGATGTGAAATCACAGAGGAAATTGCAGTGGGACATTTTAACTAATTGGTGTGAAGAACAAAGAGTTGGGGTAATGGGATGGAGACACAGACAACTGTAGGGTTTTGGCCAGGAACCTGGAAGAATGGGGACATCAGTATGTCACATAAGAAAGGTGGGGAGAAAATCAGTGCAGAGGTAAGATGAAGGAGGTGGTTTTAGGTAGTTTATTTTCTAGGTGTTTGTTTGGTATCATATAGGGAATATCCAGTACAAAGTTGGAAATAGAAAACTAGGTCTCATGAGAGGCAGGGACGTCGAAAGTCAATCCGAGTCACCTGAAGAGAAGTGATGGTTGAAGCCCTGGGAGCAGGTGGAGACACCCACCCTGGGAGTAGATTACAGATCGAAGAGAGTCATGCAGAGAGAAAGGATGGGAGACAGGCAGCTACCCATCGGGATGTTGGATGACACAGAACAGGAGGAGGGGTGGGTCAGAGAAAACCAGAGTGAGGAGGAAACATGAGAGGTGGAGCAAGTATGAGAGTTGCCCAAGGGGTCCCCCAAAAATAGGCTCTGAGGGAAGGTCAGTGCATTTGGTAACCAAGAGGCTTCTAAAAACTTCGGTGGTTGCTGGGTAAGTAGTTGATGGGAGGTAGAGTATGTGGTGAAGAATCAGGGGAGCCCCTAGGGATACAGCACTGATTGGCAACATGTGATTGTGGAAGGAAGGAAGGGGGATGTTTCCAGAGGACTCAGCAGGGTTGTGCAAAAGTTCTTCCAAGATGGAGACCCAGAACGGGGCAGGTGCCAAGGCTGGGAGACCAGTGCGGGCAAAGGGGCTGGAAGGATGGGTGTGGAGGTGAGAGCAGTGCCTTCTCAGGAGTAGAGGAGGGCAGAGGAGGGCCGGGGGTGAGCCCCTGACGAAGGCTGCCTCCCCTCCCGTCATCCTCCCTCTTTCCCAATCTCTTCCTTTTCCTTCTCCTGGTGTTTTTCTTTCTCTCCTTTCCCCAAGTACCTCTTATCCTCCATAGAGCTTGTTTTCCTTGAAGTGGTCATTAGTAGAGGTAGGAGCTTGTGGTTTTGGTCGCGCTGTGTGGCTTGTGGGATCTTAGTTCCCCGACCAGGGATCAAACCCGTGCCCCCGGCAGTGGAAGCGCAGAGCCTTAACCACCAGACGGCCAGGGAATTCCCAGGAGCATCTTTAAACGTTAACTTTCATGTTGATGTATTCAACTAACACATTATTTTTAAAAACAAATATATTGAATCCTTTGCCTTTCTTTCTCCAAGACAATAGAAACCCTAAACTCTGTAATTATGCTGCTTTTTCTCTGCATAGACTCTTGGTTTTCTTCCTTGTGCATAGGGGCCTGTAATTTGATAACATGTTCCCTCCTGTCACGCTGAAATGGTGATTAATAGGTTTTGTGAAACTGCATTTCTCCCCATTTCCACACTTCTCAATCTGCAGGGGTAAATAAATGATCTAAAAGTACAGTCTTTTAAAATGCATTTTTTAAAAAACATCTTTATTGGAGTATAATTGCTTTACGATGGTGTGTTAGTTTCTGCTGTATCACACAGTGAATCAGCTATATGTATACATATATCCCCATATCCCTTCCCTCTTGCGTCTCCCTCCCACCCTCCCTATCCCACCCCCCTAGGTGGATACAAAGCACCGTAAAATGCATTTTTGTATGTTCTGTACCTGAAGTGTTGGGTGACACTCTGGTTGAGGCATGTGGGTGCATGAAGGAGTCTGGTGGGCTTGGCAGGGGCTCCGAGGGTGAGGGGATAAGCTGCTGGAAGGTGCTGTCCATGTCACTAGTGCCTGTTGCCAAGCGGTGGGCCATATTTCCAGTGGGCCTGCGACTGGAGATAAATGTTAAGGAGTGGGGCGTCTCCCGACCCACCCAGAGAGCCCTGGTTGCAGCCACTGGGAGGCAAAAGCCCAGAAATCCTCCTTCTAGAGAAAGAGCACCGCCTTCCGCCAGCACTGAGACCTTTCCAGCTGAGCTCCCCATCTCCCAGAGGGCTTTATCTAAATTAGGAGAGGAAAAGGACTTCTCTCGTTTTCCCCTTGTCTTGAAATATCTGAGTCGAAGTAAGTCATCTACATTCTTTTTTTTTTTTTTTTTTTTTTTTTTTTTTTGACATTTACAGAGCTCAGCAGTCAGCCCCACTCCGGAAATTTCTTCAGAGCCTCCTGGATAGTAAGTTATCACTGTTTACATGGCTTGATGTATTAAATATCAGAAACGGGAAGAGGCTTGTGTTGTGTTTTGTTATCAGTCTAGTGGATTTGAATGATGTACAGTTTGGTGATAAGTAGCAATTATCATCTTCAAATTATTTTTTTCCTCCTCCTTTTCCAAATTAATTTTGTGTTGATTCATATTACCTTTGATAAGCTTTTCCCTGTGTTGGCATCTTTACCTTTAGAATGTGTGCTGATCTTTGGGGGAACGGAGTGGGTGACTAAGGCCACATCTGGTATAAAGGTGGGGGGTGGGGTGAGGTCCTCAGGCTGGACCTATCATGAGGAAAGATGGGGCCAAGAGGGGGCTAACTTGTCTGATTCTCAGACATCTTGGTTTATTCCCCCATCTCAATTCTTAGAATTCTGCCTGAGTGGTGAATGCACACCCCACACACTTCATGGGGTGACCACCAGACTCCTTTCCCGTCCCCAAACCGTCCCAGGTCCTCTCCTAGGTTACCTTCACTATGCAGCTGTTATCCCAGCCAAAAATGCTTCCGTGCTACTCCCTACGCTTACAAACATGGTGAATAGCCAGCACTTTAGCTTGTATAAATGGGCCCTAACGGATCCTTCCTATACCCAGTCTCATATTAGTATCTCTTATGGCACTTACTTCTGTTGCTGTCTACCTGACTTATGCTCTTGTTTTTTGGGGGTTTTTTCTTTTTGCGGTACGCGGGCCTCTCACTGTTGTGGCCTCTCCCACTGCGGAGCACAGGTTCCGGACGCGCAGGCTCAGCGGCCATGGCTCACGGGCCCAGCCCCTCCGCGGCATGTGGGATCTTCCCGGACCAGGGCACAAACCCGTGTCCCCTGCATCGGCAGGCAGACTCCCAACCACTGCACCACCAGGGAAGCCCTATGCTCTTGTATTTTTATAACTATAATAAATTATGAACTCCATAAGGGCAAGGACTGCATCTCCATACTGCCTGGTGCACCCTATAGATTTGGGAGCTGTTCTGGTAGGAGCAGCTTCTCGTCTCATCACCATTATATCACCATCTGTATCTCATTCTTTGAAATATGACAAGGAGGAAAGGCACACTATTACCTGTTCCATTTGGGTTGGGTAAGTGCACAATGAGCAAAGTTCACCTCTTCAAATAGAAGCCTTACTTGGTCTGAATGCTGAGTTTATGGGGGCAAATATTATGGTCACTTGGGCATATCCAACCTATCGTATCTTGCCAAAGAAGGCATTTTGCAAGAGTAGTTTCATTTGAAAGTCAGTGGGCTGGGATTAGGGTATTTTGGTGAAAAATTGCTTCAGGTGTGGCTGAGTGAATTTCTCCCGGATCTAAGGCACTATGCTGGGTATTCGTTTTTGTTTTGTTTTTTTAATATAAATTTATTTATTTATTTTTGGCTGCGTTGGGTCTTCGTTGCTGTGTGCGGGCTTTCTCCAGTTATGGCGAGCGGGGGCTACTCTTCGTTACAGTGCGCAGGCTTCTCCTTGTGGTGGCTTCTCATTGCAGAGCATGGGCTCTAGGCACGTGGGCTTCAGCAGTTGTGGCACGAGGGCTCAGTAGTTGTGGCTCATGGGCTCTAGAGCGCAGGCTCAGTAGTTGTGGTGCACGGGCTTAGTTGTTCTGTGGCGTGTGGGATCTTCCTGGACTAGGACTCAAACCTGTGTCCCCTGCATTGGCAGGCGGATTCTTAACCACTGCGCCACCAGGGAAGTCCCTATGCTGGGTATTCTAATAGGAGCATAAGATGCAGTCCCCTAATAGTTTCAGGGGCAAAACACACACACACACAAAGTAAATAAAAGGGCAATGTGACAACTGAATGAAATAGACTGTAGAGGTTAAAAGTATTCAGAAGGCAGCTCCCACAGGATATCAGAGTTAAGAGTGCAGGTCTTGAATGAAATGATAATTTTAACGACTGATTGAGCATTTACTATGTGCCAGGCCCTGTGCTTAGCATGGTATATACTTTACCTCATTTAGTCCTCAACATTTCAGGATCAGGCGTTATTTTTTATCCCCATTTTATAGGTGAGGAAACAAGCACAGAAAGGTAGTGTGTGCCCAGGTTCCACAGCTGTGTGTGGCAGAACTACCACCAGAGTAGGAGCAATGACGTTCTAGGCCAGGAGACTGCCAAGATCTTCTGGTGGCAGCAGTAAACTCTCACCTGCACCAGTACTGATTCAAAATTGGGTAATAAATTAACCAAAGGCATGCTAGGGTTTACTGTTTTGAGCGGTTAAAAAAACAACTTAACCATTTGTGTAATAGTGTGTTAGCAGGATTGAGGGGGACTCATGTGGACTTTTTAAAAGAGCAAATTGCTTTCAAACACTCTGAGTACTGGTGTACATAGATATTTGATGTGTTAATTTACCAAGCACTGTATTTGTATCATGGTAATAGGTCCAGAGACCTCTGTTTTTCAGCCGTAGCCCAGCTCTCATGAAACACTTGACAGGAATAAATAAGCTTTTCCCTCCTGCTGTTCTTCCATGTGGGGATTTTTCAGTAATTCAGGCTTGGTTTTCTCCCAGTTTGTTCAAATGAGTTAGGTTTTTCAGTATTTGGAATTGGTGAGGAGTCAACATAAGTGCAGCACCTGATACATATGAAAATGCACAGTAAGAGTTTGTTGAATAAATGAATGCATCTGTGAATCTTAATTAACTAGAATCCAACTTGCTTAGCACTGAGGCAGGCTGCTTGTGAACTGAATCTGGCCCCTTTCACTGGATGGACACGAAACGTGAAAGAAATGTTGGCAAGGCTTGACTTACTTAACCCAAGGGCTGAAGAAAGAGGAGTCACCGATAGCCCAGGATCAAAAACTCTGTGGTCACTGGAGAAGTGATGGTGTTGTCTTAAATCTACTTTCATATCTTGAGCAGACTGCAGTTTAGCATTTTATTAGCATGAGTCCATATCACAATATTAGAAGAACCTGGGAAGAGAAAGGAAGAAATTCACCCATAGCCCCAATATCCTAATACAACATCAGTCCTTCCTCTCAAAAATATATCTTTCATACTTGTAATCATAGTGTATGTCCCATTTTGAATTTAATTCCCTGGAGTTATCAGATCTATAAGTCAGCGGTATATTTTCATCATGACTTATCATTTCGGCATTGATTGGCACGAATACATTTTTTTGCCTAACCAAAGAGCTTTACTCTATTTGGCCAGCAGGTGGCGCTCAAGAACAAGCTGCTCTTTCCTAAATGGTGATGGTCCACTAGAGAAAACATTATTTCCCTTAATCCAATGTAAGATCAAAACACAAATCATTACCTAAAGAGCTACATGAAAGATTAGAGACTCCCCTGGGCCTTAAAAATGTCCGAAATCTGTGTGCTTGTAGGCATGTAATTTCATAGAATCTTTTTTTCCACTAATATGTATTTGGTGAACAACAGTGCTAGACACCAGGCATACAATGATTCATAAGATAAACTGCCTGGCCTCAAGGGGCTCAGAGTGTCATTGGGAAATGACACTCTTGTACATGACAATCAGAATGCAGTGTGGTAAATTCAATGATGGGACCCAAGAAGGAGTGAGCACCTCTGTTTTGGGGAGAATGAAAGAAAGGTTTTATAGAGCAGCAGCAAATAAAAAGTGAATGACAGTAACATTACATTATAAATACAAAAAAGTTTTTTCATGCAATACAAAAGGCTTTAAGATTGTCTAGACTCCCTTCCCCAAAGTCTAGAAACAGTTACTTTCTTTTTTTTTTTTTTCTGAAAACACCAAATGGTTTTAAACAGTGAATTCATGAGGGTGGAATTTTTTGTTTTGTCCTCTGTTGAATCTCCACCTAGGAGAGTGATTGACACTTAGAAGGTGCTGAGTAAATATTTGTGGCATGAATAAAATTAGCAGTGGAATGACAAATTGAGATGTTCTCTAGAAATATCATTGGCAGTGATTTGCAGATATGATTGGAGGGAGTCAGGGCTGCAGGCTTGGGGAGTGGTGCTGTGCTTCCTGCAGAGGTGCAGACAAGTGGTCGAGTGGTCGTGAGCAGTCCCGGGAGGGAAAG